ATTGAATTTTTCATGAACATCGCCATATTTTAGGGTACCATACCCCCTTAACAAATTGACGTCAGTTTTTCATGTGTCTGTCCTGTTATTGACAATGAATTTCGTCATAACATCGTCAAAGTAGTTTGCGGATCCACTCGGCTATCGCTATCGTCAATTTGTTTTTCACGATACCAAATTGTCAAATTGTCCGCCCTCGCTCGCTCACGCATCGCATAAATTATAAATTCATGTGCCTGTCCGCTTATTGACTATAAAAATTAGCCAATGAGCGCGCGAGAATTTCTGCAGTTATCGTAAAAAACATTATCGAGTACTGAAAACAGAAGGCAAATTTACCTTGCTATTAAATGCATTGTTGTCCGAGCCAATAGCTGGAGCGTCTTCCACTAACATTTCCATTACAGTACAAGTGAATGCGGCGAAGGACTCCTTCACAGCCAAAACGACTTCATAAGCGATCTGAATGAGGAAATTTTAAACTGAGGATTTCGGCTTCTATTGTTAGTGACATCTTTCATTTCTATATTTCGTTGATATTTCCTAATCGTGTCACCGCCCCACCTCGCCCCGCTCTGCCCCGTCTTGCCCCCAAGCAAGGGAAAAGGCAATGGAAAAGAGGTTGTGTGGGAAGGTGGGTGCGGCATGGGGTCAGATTAGGCAGGCCTTGAACTGAGTTTCTCCCCGGGTATTTACCTTATTTTAAGCTGAAGCAGAGTTCGTAGCTTCCATGAAGTACGATTTGTCAAACCTGCATATTAGTCTCAAGCCTGGTTTTCACTAGCGACGCAAGCACAAGCACAAAGCACAAGCGCAAACACAAGCGCAAGCACAAGCGCAAGCAAATAATTCTTACTTCACCGTGAAAACGGTCTTGACACAGGCATAAGCACAAGCGATCAAAATTTTTCTTTTTTCGTGTGCTTGCGCTTATGCTTGCGTTTGCGCTGCAACAAGTGAAAACGAAATACCGCTCAGACATAACACAAGCACAAGGATATTACCACACGTGGTTAAGTTTGGTCGATGAAAACACTGGATCCAGATTACCTCGCGCCTAAACAGTTTGGAAGGTTCGGATGATTTTGCTTATGCTTGTGTTTGCGTCGAACTTTGTTTTCACTTGGGTCATCCCCATTGGTTGCGCTTGTGCTTCCGTCGCTAGTGAAAACCAGGTTTTAAAAAGCACCGAGGACCAACAGAAGTATGGCTTGTGTCAGCAACCGAGCTCGTCTTGCAGAAAGCACTGCTCTGTGTTTCATATTCACAAGTTGCCAAACGACGAAAGTAGCCGAGAGTTAAAACTCTCATTTTCGCTTGGCCATCACTCTCATCAAATCTCATTAACGGTCAGCCGCTCTTTTCGAATTTAAGCCTGGTCGGGTCGAAGAAGGTTTTTGCTCTTGTTCTTCCTCTACTCCCACTCCCATCCTAGCGCTGCCCCGCTTGAGATTTTGCCGCTGAGAATTCAGCTTCCGGCAGTTGTAACCTTCTTTTCGCGCATTTCGAATCGGTTTTTTTTTCCAAATTTCAAGCGAGATAATCTTCTATTTCCCAAGTGCTGAGATATTTCAAGGAAATGCTAAAAGCCGGCGTTTATCATGGAGTGATTCGCTACGATAAATGGCAATTTCTTCGTCTGCCAAAGACCGATGACTTCATTTTAGAAAACGTTTATCTGAGAACAAATTCACTTTTCAGAAACTAGTTTTTCTAAAAACAAAGTTATTATAGATGATACATATCACTTCTGTTCAGGTCACACCTTGAGGAAAAATTTCAGTATCCATGAAATGCAGAAGTTGAATTTCAACCCAATTCGTTATCGTAGAATTGTGAGCTTGAAGAAAAAGCTCAACTAAGCATTTTAACATTATTTTAAGAAAAAAAACGTTTGATACAGATTAAAGTTCAGAACATTACCTCAAACACAAAGCAAGCAAGTCTGCAGCACCTTAAATACTCAATTGAGCTGATTTTGCTTCCCCGATAACGACCAACTCTAGTTGTTATAATGTCAATGGCATCGACACGTGTACCGTCCTTAAATTCAATGACGTAGTCACTCTCCAGCTGTGACTGCCTGTTTGTGCTTAGTGTGTTTTCTGTCCTTCTCTGATCAGATCTCACTCTTCTTTCCGAGAAAGCGGCATGCCTGTAAGGAAATTTAAAGATGAACATCTTTTTAGAACCAATGTAACCTGCAGTAAGGCTCTAATTTTTCCGCGCTGTGCATCATTTGATGTATCAGGTTACGAATGTCAGGTTAGTTCTAGTGTGGTCTCAAGTCGACTTACTTGATTGACGAAATAACACTTAAAAATTACCCCTAAAAATTTGATAAGAATAATAACTATTCGACAACAAGTCCCGTTTTTCTATTTTATTCTGTTTATTACTTTATTTTACTCATTTAAGACCTGTTGCACTTTTGCGGGTGCGTAAGCAATTTGATGTTTGGACCGATGGTCCAAGTTTCGTCAAACTTGGCTTTGGTAACGAAAATCCTTCTTCATCGATTTTGTGGGAAATTTGAAAGTTATAGTGTCGGTATTCCTGAAATTATTTAATCATTTTTGGATGGTTTTCATAGCATATTTTGTATTTTTTAAGATCCTACAGAAATTTGGTGTGTAAAAAGCAGCTTGAGAGGGTGAAAGGAGGACAATGAGATTTCCAAGGTTGAAAGATTGTCATAAAACCGCACGAGAAAATCTAGGTTATTCCAGGGGCGTGTTGATCTGAATTGCACTGAGTTGCACGATTTCTATTGGCTAAAAACCTTCCATTAAAAGCCGTACATGCGCATTATCGTGACACTGGCCCTTTAAATAATCAACGATATTTACCTTTCTTTAAACCTGTCAAGCTCTCTGCGTTTCTCCTCCAGCGCGTGCTTTGTCTTCACCATTTGTTCTTCATAACTGTACCTATTCATGGTAAACAGAGTGAGAAAAACGTATTCAGTCATTTCACTAAACATTCGTCTACTGATATGCGGTACAGATGAAGTGGTAGAAAATATACACCTGGTTGCTTTGTGCAAATGTTATCTCGAGCATACCCTAGGGCAAACTATTCAACAGAAAAAGCCTTAAATTTACCCTTAAAATCGTATTCAGATATGGTACTTAGGGGGACTGAACTCGAGCAGTCCTCAATTCTACTAGTTTTTTTTTGTCTATTTGACGATATTGGGCAAAATGATCTGAAACCATGAATCGAATCAGTGTAATACCAAGTACAATTAATTTTTTTTCCGTTCATTATGCCAGGCACTGCCAGTCTTTCCGGCATGACTACGTGCGATTTGGCTGAGTCACGCAGAAGTTTGGCGTTCATTTTAAAGTGTTTTTTTTTAAAGAATCAGTTGAATGTCGAGGGTTAAATTATTTGTAAAGTTGATTTTCTAAGCGCTACAGAAAAAAAATTCCGATATTACCTGGGTAATGTTACCGATGATGGTGCAATAACTTTGTAAAATTACTTAGTACACCAGACGTTCATAAAACCAATACAAATGCTTGATTTCTAAAATTAGCTTTAGTGCTGACCTGGTGTTTACGTGTTTCTTCAAGAACACGCGTGGCTTGTATGCCTTACTCGTTCACTATTTTAGCTCAGTGATGCAATGATCATGGAATCTTTAGTATAAATACATCGATTTTGTAAATGACTTTCGATTTACCCGAAAAGAAGAATAAACTACAGTGAAGTTCAGTTCTTTGTTAGAGTCCCCGCTATCCAGAAGGTTGTGATGGATTCTAGTCTCCCAAGCCAAGCGAGTTGCTCAGAGTAAATATTTCCCAAAGTTGTGTTCATTTGCCGTCGTCAAGTTCAGTTTCCATTGTCTCTTCCGAGGAGGGAAAAAGCTAGCGTCACACAGTTTCATCTCGCAATAGGTTGATTGTCTTCACTTTTGGTGCTTTGTGTTAGCTTTGACCGCAAAAATACATACAGTACATTGCGTTTTCTTCCTTTCATTTCTCCGTTACCTCCCTTAAGGCTGAAACCCTTGCAGTGTTTCAGGAGGTGTGTCTCAAAAGGCGGTAAGAATATCTCCACTAACTATAGGGAAGGTAAATTTGAAATATAATGGCAAAATATGCAAACACTGTACTTACCCGTCCGCATCTCGAAAGTATTTTGGACTGGAATTGATCTTCTCCTGTAGCTGACGTTCACATTCTCTCAATTTCTTCTTTAATGCCTCATTTTCTTTGCCTTTCTGGGAGGCAATGTCTGTGCTGGAATTAAGAGATGATGATGTAAGTAATGCGTGCAGGGGGGCCCAATGGCCTCATGGTTAGTGCGATCGAGGATTCCGGGTTCGAGCCCAGGCCGGGGACATTGTGTTATGTTTTTTGGACAAGACACTTTACTCTCACAGTGCCTTTCTCCTCCTAATAGTCACGAATTGTTTCCGCTTGTGAAACCACGAAAACGCAAGCGCATTGTTCTTATGTGGCAGTTTCTTCAAGATGGTTAACACGTTTGACGCAACACTAAGCTTAAGCGCAGTGTTGATCAAATGTTAAAGGCTCTGCACCTGCTCACGTTGGGGTTGAAGGGTGGTAAGGGGTCCTTGTAGGCCACCAGGTGTACTTCGCAAATGCCAGGAAATGTCCACCGTGTCAGGCTCTGCCACCAAGTCGGCTGTCGCATGTCCTCGTTATAACCCCGATAATGCAGTTGTACTGCAGCTGAGCAACAATGGCAAAAGGCGGGTATCCGGCGCCTTTCAAATAACGGGATATTGTGGCTAAGGGAAGGACACCCCGACAGAAAACCCAGGCCCTCCAGGTTGGGGGTTGGGCATGGGGCCAATCCCCCCCATCCCGTAAAAAATTATCGATTACGGAAACCGAAAAAAGTGCTGGCCTATACTCACTTAGGGTTATGGTCAAAATCTACCTGCACACGTCGGCTTTTTAAGAACTATAAAAAAAAAAAACTCTTGCAACATCTAAGGCCGAGAAATACAGGCAACATTTTCATTCAACTCGACAAGCCACAATTTTTGTAATAAGCACAACAGCGCTTTCAATTTGCAATTTAATTTTTTCCAAAATAACTCGGCCTTGTGGCAAAAAATGAATCAAGGCAGATTTAGCTCGTGTAATTCATGAAATATATCAAACACGAGAGACAGTGTTTCATCGGGATATCCAAGTATCGAGAAGAGAATTGAAAATACGACGCGCAGCGAAGTATTTAGGACAAAACTCGAGGTGTTTGGATAGCCGATGAAACACTGCCTCGAGTGTTTGATATATCTTCTCAATCGGAACAAAAACTAAGGAGTAAAATCGTCAAAATCCATACTAATTAAGACCGGGTATCCAAACCTCCTTCACGGTTGGGGTTTTCTTTATTCTAACTTGATGAATTATTAATGAGAGTATATCATCACATGACATTTACCTTTCATTTAAGCGATTTTGAAGCTCCGTGTTGTTTTTCTGTAAAATTTCTGTACTGTTCTTCAGCTGTTGTTCATAGTGTTTCCGCAATTCAAATATCCTATAATATTGACGAAATAAAGTACTGATGATATTTTTTCCCTAAAAGGTTCAAACCAGAATAATTACGCATCTGGTTCCTACATGTGAGTTAATTAGGCAGGATGAATTCAACTGGTAGACATGAAAACTTGAAACTCAGTTTTTAAAATAGCTACATAAAAAATGAGGCTACGTACATGGCAAATATCCCGTACAACATGCGGTGTAGAGGGCGGTGTTGAATAACGCAGGCTACACCACAGATTTCGCTCGGTAAAATGTAGTACTTTTAAATTCTGTGAAATAATTTTTAGAACAATACCTGTCATCTTGTTTGCTTATTAGTTGTTTTTCTTTGGCTTCCCACCGCTCTTTCCAAAATTTCTCAACTCTCTTACTGGAGGAGTCTACACTGAAAGTGAAAGTGTTGCTCTACAACGTTAACCTTATGTGCTTGTATAGTTACTGACAACGACGATCAATTACGTACTCTAATTACATGTCCAAGTGATAGATTTTTTCCTCGATTTTTTTGGGTGCATTTTTGCACAAACGTGTTGCAGGAGATCAACGATTCTAGGGGGGATACCTCCCAAAATATGAGTGTGGGAGTGCATCGGGCTCCTTGAAACTCTTACCCTTTTTTCAACCCAGACACAAGATTTTCGCTCCTTCACTTCAGACCTGAACCACAGAAGGAAACCGTATTTCAGACCTGATGTTCTACATCAACTGCGTTGGTCGGCGTATACAGCCGAGGTGTTCAAATTCAAGATGCTAATTAAATCATACTTTTCAAGTGATGATATAACGATGACAAAAATAATTTTTTCCAAGAATTATACGTAAAGAGTGCACAGATCATACCGTTTGCCAGACCAAAACCGTTAAATCCATACTCTGTTCCAGGACAAAAGGCTCAAAAAACACGTTGCACAATACCTATATGTCTTAACTCCGGGGAGCAACGATTCATCCTAGGCAGCCTGTTCCACTAAAACAGAGTGATACAACCTTCCTTCCGACACATCCTTCCAATCGCTCTGAGGTTCAAACATTCTGGCTGGATTAGTGTTTCTTATGGGTATCGTGGGTACTGTATAATCAACTTTGTTTGTGCTGTCTTTAACCAATGCTATGTAATTTCCCATGCGCTGTTTCAGAAGTGATCGTTAACTTGTCTCATTCAAGAGGTAATTAATGGCATTTCTAAACTTTGCCCATGCCCATATATCGATTTATATGCAGTTTCCTTTGAATAAAATGCATTGCATGTAGTCTGCGCCAGACTAAGTCCCTTCCTGCAAGTCATTAAGACAAAATCTAGTTTGCCTTTTTCGGACTAAAGCTTCCACCATTGTTTCTCTTCAGCGAAGTCTTATTTCTGAGGCCCAGTTCAGACGTAGTGCTTCACCCATGCCGAACTCAATTGCAATTTGGTTGGACTATGACACGGCAGAAAAACAACTCTGATTCAGACGTCGTGCCAGAGTGGAATCAAATTTAGAATTTACTGATGCCTCGTAACAATTCTCCTCCTAACTCCCCGTGGGAACGCAATCCCGCCAAAATATATTAATATAATTTATGAATTTTGTTTGGCGCGACAGAGGCACGACGTTCGAATCGCTGCCGTGCCAGAATCGTGTAGCACGGCAGAGCTTGTCGAACTTAATTGCTTGCCGAACTTAATTCAAAAGTTTGATTCAGACGCCGTGCTTTTGTCGAACTTAATTCCTGAATTTAGTTCGGCACGGCAGAAGCACGACGTCTGAACTGGGCCTGAGCCGCATGAGGTCTCAGATTTTAAACTCGAGTTTAACGTGAACGTCGCCATTAATTGAAAGAAAACTAACCGGAGATGAATGCTACCGTATCAGTTACTAGTAAACGCTACAGATACATGCAAACGAAAGGATACCGTATCCATGTTACAGTTACCTTGATGGGGACGCTTTCACTTCTTTCTCAAGTTTCTTAATTTTCCGCTCCAGTCGCTCCAACTCATCCGGTAGCATTCTCAATAATTGCATAAATTGGCTGTTGGAAGCGAGTGATTCACTTTGATTTGTCATTTCAAGCGATTCTCTGCGACTTCCAGACCTCGAGCCCGGCGACTTTGTGTTCAATCCTGCCATGTTAATGAACAACAAGAACCACAAATCGCAATATTCCCAGAAAATACACTTCCGCTTTTTTCTTTCGCTTTCGTGGAAAACCGGAAGTAGTCACGCTTTCGAATAAGTCACTCGCACAGACAGACATGCAGACGCATTTAAGAAATTAAAATTACGAATCTTTCAAGAAAAGGTTCTCACTATTGGATGGTAAGATTACGCTTGTGAATTTAGTCTTCTAAACGAATCAAAATTAGTTAAACTTTTCTCATAACAAAGAGATGTTGACACAATCTAATCTGGGGCAAGCGTCTTTGTTTTAAAAGACATCTATCTTTGACCCGTCATTGGTTAGTTGGAGTTCCGGGAAATTTCCCTTCTCTTCGTTTGCCTGAGAAGAGATCATTTCTTCGTTGTTCAAGCTGTTCGTCTTCTAACGAAGGAAACCATCCAAGCCAGAATGGCGTTGTCGGTAACAGGTAACCTTTAGCATTTTAACCGTAACTGTGATCGATCACGGGTTTCAGAACTCTCAGTTGACAATGAACTGAGAGAAATGTTCAATACACGAGTTGATGTTCTTCTTGCGTTACTTCGATTTTACCTAAACAACTGTTGTTTGTGCGAAGAAAATTGCCACATTTTATGGATCGTTCCCAATTGTTGTGCTAAATTAGTTAAATCAGTCGATGTAGGGCATGTCCAACCAGCAATTGCCATTTCTGAAAACATTCTTACACAGTTATGGTGATATATCTTGTTCGACTGCGAAGCTAATGCCCAGCTCTTCCCCGTGGAAATTTAAGCTTTAACCTTTCAAGTATTTTATTTGTCGTTTATGTTTGATAGTTTTCCAACTTGGTACTAAACTGTTAGGTTAACTTTTCTTCACATCTCAATCAGTAATTCATTCAATAGTACGTAAGTTCAAAGCATCAGTACATATGAGATGAAACAGCCCCAAATAGCCGGAGAGTTGACTATGAAATGGAAAAAAATTATATTGCTAATTACTTAGTAATACTTCGCAACTTGAGAGTCCAACGGTAAAGGGCATTTCCAAGAATTGGCTAAAATACATGTAGGAAAAGGCGGTTTACTTATGCAAATGGCTTAGTTTGTTTTTTTGCATGACCGGAAAACTTCTAAGACAAACGGAATTTCTAAGAAGTCCAACAATGCCAATTGGAATTTTCAAACTGAAAATGTACATGTACAATCCTATATTAAAAAATTGCTGTACCGTGATTTTTAAATTTAGCATAACTTATTGCCGCTTATAAGCCCCCGCCCACCCCCCACGCTTATAAGCTGGTTGTAGGCTCATCTTCCATTAAACCAAAATACATTTCCGGTTATAAGCCGCTCCCCCAACACCGGATATAAGTCCCCCTCGAGTTTTCCTTGTTTTGAATTCGTTTCATTGTGATCTTTTAAAGCTAAGTAAAACCAAAAAGTAAAATGAAAAACTTATTTAGATCAACACAGCTATAGCTCGTTTCGAGACGGTTTTTCATTCCCGTTTTAAGCCCCCTCGTATTTAAGTCCCTCCGTTTTAAAGCCCATCTAAAAGCCCTTACGAGGTTGTTTAAGCTCTGGGCTTTAATAAGCGGCAGTTTACGGTATTCATTCAGTAATTTGACAAATCAAGAATGTCGAGCCTCATTTAATACAATATGTTTGCTATCGGGTTCTCAAAATTCCCAATGGAAACGCAGACGCCATAAATTAGAAACTGGAGTGGTGTTCAACACATTGAGCGTCAAAAACCAAAAGCGCGGGAAAATGTATACGAGCAGGTCACGATAGGTTTCGGTTTTACTTCTGATTCGTTAAACCAATCACTAAGCTTCAAAGTGGTCCTCTGGAGTAAAGTAAGTCAGTAAAGCTTTTTCGCTTTCTGTAGCACGAAGCGACAAAGTGATACCGCTATACCCTTTGAATGGGATGCCAGTTTACGCAGATTACCAACCTGCCTATTAGCAGTTTGTCAAGTTGCCTTGACAATTCACCGGAACCCCTTATACCATTAGGTACAGAGATGCACTGTGAAACTTGGCTTTGTCACAAGTATAGATAACTTTTGTTGTTGTTTTCTGCTTAGATCTAAACGACTCGCTTCTATATCTTGAAAAGTCTTTCCTTGCAATTGTGGCTATCGACTTTGGCACAACTTACAGCGGTTTCGCCTTCTCATTCAACAAGGAACAAGGTGATGATGACTCGATTTTTATGAATAGAGACTGGGTGAATGAACAAGGCCATCGAACAAGCAAGACACCCACATGCCTGTTACTTAAACCAGACCAGTCATTCGACTCATTTGGATACAAAGCGGTAGAGAAGTACACAAATCTGAAGAGCCTCTCTGAAGAAAAAGAATACTTCTTTTTTCAGCATTTTAAGATGTTTTTACACAATGACGAGGTACAGTCTTGAGTAGTTACCGCTCGGCCCTTAGCAGTAAGAGACATTTATTTTTTTCTGAAGATTAGCTCCTTTCGCACGTATCGATTGGCTTAAATGCTCACTCCTCGTGATCTGATTGGCTCCCTCATCGTTGA